TTCCAAAAAATGGTTTGCCTCACACAAAAAAAAGTAAAAAAATTTAAGAAAAGCTATTTTTGTGAAAAAATTATCCATTGCCCGGAGACAAGCTGTAGCTCATCGTGTAGCGAATTGAATTCTCTACGAATATCTGTATCCATTATAGAGACATTCCATTTCCATCTTGGTCAAAAATCCCAAAAGTTATATGACTCACCCCAACAAAAGGAAAAAAAATATTAAAAAAATAATTTTTTGAAAAAGCTATCCATTGCCCGGAGATCAACTGTGGTTCATCTTCTAGAGAATTGAATTCTCTATCAACATCTGTATCACTTATATTGAGAATCCATCTTCATCCGGGTGAAAAATTCTAAACAATACTATCCATCACCTCAAAAAGGGAAAAAATTTAAAAAAATATGCATTGTGCGAAGATAAGCTGTAGCTCATCTTGTAGAAAATTGAATTCTCTATCAATATCTGTATCGCTTATAGAGAGAATCCATTTTCATTTGGGTGAAAAATTCCAAACAATATTATCCGTCACGCCAAAAAGGCAAAAAAGTTTTAAAAAAATAATTGTTTTGACAAAAGTATCCATTGCCTGGAGAGCAGCTCTAGGTCATCTTGTAGAGAATTGAATTCTCTATCAACATCTGTATCACTTATATTGAGAATCCATTTTCATCTCGTTGAAAAATTCCAAACATAATACGATCCGTCACCCAAAAAAGGCAAAAAAATTTTAAAAAATAATTTTTTTTTGAAAAAACTATCCATTTTCCGGAGATTAGCTCTACCTCATCTTGTAGAGAATTGAATTCTCTGGAAATATCTATGTCGCTTATAAAGCGAATCCAATTATTTCAGAAGAGTATTCTTTTCTTTATTCGAAATGCCTATTTTTATCTTTATGTGAATCCTTTTATTTTATACACTCTAAAAAATTAAGACACATGAAGTGTATAATCAAGACGTTTCGTTCGTTTAGACAAGACGCTTGACGCTATTTCTGATTGGTTGATATATACCTCATTTAGACACTTCAAGTGTCAACGGATAACCGATTAGCGTGTGAGTGGTCGTGTGAAGTGAGCACAAGTTGACGTGAGCACAAGTCGCGTCCATGCATCCATATTATATCCAACTACATTGATCTCACTCATAAATGTAATAGTTGTAACTAATGATGAAAATTTTCAACATATTCTCAAACGAGATATTCTTCTTCTATATTTCAACCGCATATTATAGATTAATGTAGATGAAGATTTATTATTCGTCATATCAACGTTTTTCATGAGAATAGCGTTTAGAGTACCAAGAAAAGACGACATTCGTGACGTGTAGTAGATTTTTATTTATTAGCTACATATAAAAATTATATAAATTGATTTATAATGATGAAAGAAATATAAGAAAAATACGATATGAGTAACTAGAGAAGAACAAATAAAAGAATTTTTTCATCAATAAATATTAGGCGTGAAAAAATCTATTAACCAAAAAAAAATAATTAATAACAATTCTATTTTCAAGTTCTTCAGCTTCTTCAGATCATTTTTGTCTTTGATTATGCTGTGTCTAAATTATTTTAGAAAAAAACAGTAAGCAAGTCATGGAATTTTAAGGCAAATAGTTACTTACTGGAAAACAAACGATTACTATTTGTAATAACGACACATTGAACACCATTTACATTTATATTAGTGAGACAATCCGTATTATTAAAGAAGCTATAGTGCTATTATGATGAATTGTTGATGGTGTTGTTGCATGAGAGTCAAATAGTTTAATTTATATTGCTATGATTATGAAAAATATCGACCTGATCTTAGGGAGATAAGATCAAAAAAACAAACAAAGACAAAATCCAGAGCATAGAAAAATTGTCTTTCAGTATATGAAAATCAAACATCTAATGAACTTTCGTCAACAAAATCTATGCCATTCATGTCTATAAAAGGCTCAGAAAAAAGAAGCTAAACCGATGCATACTTGCTGATAAAATAATACTACAGAATTACATATATAGATGAGATCAGTAATTCTCGAAAGTGATGCATCCAATGATAAATGAACTTGTATAACTAGTTCATTATCTCCTTTATACCAATATCCACCAGGAACAAGTATATAAGTAAACACATGAACCTTAGTTAACGTATTCACCTAGATATGCGATTACACTATCAATTTGTAAATAAAGCTATAATCTTTATTTTCTTCGTTTGATTGTCCCCTAAGTTCATCAAAATAATAATCAAGTGTAATTGTTTCCGAGTAATCAATAATCACATTGATTTCACAAGTTAAGTTAAGCTTTGCATCATGATCAAAGCATTGAAAATGAAAAAAAAAAATCACTGGTGATGCTTTATTAATTTTTCAAATCTAGCTAGATAGCATCCACTTTCCACAATTAGGACATGAATAAAAGCACTGTTTTTTTTTATTCTTCAATGCTGAAAGATTTTCACTATCATTTGTATGAGAAGATACGGGCAGAAATAAAATACCCTCCCAAGTATCAACATTTGATCGTTCAAAGCAAATTTTGCGTTCAATGATAGAAACGATATTGAAACAAAATATTTGTTGAATTGGTTATGTAAATGAATTCATATTAAAAACAGTTTCATTAAGTTTTAGACACGAAACAAGACGATCTATCAGGAAAACTAAAAATTTTGATGGATCCCGTCGCTCACTAAAGGTAAATGTTGGAGATAATTTTTCGTTTTGTCCAGCAAAAGAGTTGCATGAGGAGAATATAATAAATTGCATTTATTACAAGGCTCACGATGAATGTCACGAGTAATTCCATGTAGTATGCAAAAAGAGCAACGTTTGTTCATACCATTAGTTGACTTATAGAATAAAAAGAAAGCTCATAATAAGATTGTTTTTGTATAACATATTTGCACATCAAACGAGTATAGGCTGAAGCTATTAGCACAGCCACTTCAGAATTAAAATGTGAAAAACATTTAGAAATATTTTTTATTCAGTAAAAGTTTCGATGGATAATAGACTTAAATAGAAAAGTTTATTTGTGATGATAAAATGAGCTCACTTCTCTTCGACTATTTTTACTTTCTTCATTTTTGTATTATATGATCGAAAATTGAATACGAGAACAATCACTTCTCAATTGCTTTGCAATAAGTCGTTTCTTCAAAAGAGCCACAATTAAGCATTATCAAAGAAATGAAAATATCCAAGCGCGTCACCATCGACTAAGTGAATAGCGAGTAGCTACTATATTATAACGAAATGAAATAAAAACAATCTCTACTCATAAAACATTCATCAGTAAATTATCACTTCTTATTCATATTGTTGACTCAAAATAATCAGTCTAAATAAGTCTAATTTTGTTACAAGATATTATGTAAGTTAGATGATATGATAGAGCTGAAGTATCATTATTGATCGATAAACTAAAAACATATATAATACATGTTAACGAAAAGACATCTTTCTCTTCCTCTCAAAAAGAAGAAAGCAACTTTACTGCTAAATATAGTTTTCTTTTCATTTTAATTAAATTTCAGAAATGCAATGCAATAGACAGTACTAACAAAAAAAGAAATACGATATCATTTCTAATGGAAATCTGTATGTCGAAAAGACAAGAGAAAAAAATATTTAAGACTTCTTACAAAATAAATTTAATTACATCGTTTTGTATAGATTAGACTCTTTAGTTGTATATCAATTAATTGTAACGTTTCTTTTTTTTTTTTCTCATTCTTGATTGTAAAGAAATGGATTCCAATTAGATTGTTGATATATCACAATGACTATTCCTATCCATTGATATAGAAAGAAATGATTGGGTAACGGTAAAAAACGGATTCGTTGTTTGATTGACTCATTACCCCTAGCTGAAGTGAGCATTATTTTTTAGGCTTACATGTTGGGCTCACTTCACGCAACCCGTGTGAGTGTAGCTTATTTTGACCCAATAAGAACATGATACCCTATTCTTATTGGCTATCTTGTCCCGTTGCTCTCTATTGATCTACTTAATTAACAATTTTCTCGAGAAAAAAAAATAGACCGAAAAATCTGACTTTATGAGATGATTTCTCTCGTATCAAGCTACATTTTGATATGAAATACTCGCTCTGAAAAAGTGATCGGAGTATTTAAGAAATTAGCGCCACTAAGTGCATTAGTGTATTCGCCATTTGATATTGATTTGATCTTTTTTCTCGATTTGTCTGTATACTAGTTATGCATTGTTCTGTTGCATTTCCTCATTATTTTTATAATATGTTTTCCTTTTCTTTGTACGTTATCGTACATTTGTATGAATAATCTGTACTTTAGATTAGATTTATTCAAAATGCTTTATCAAATTGAAATTTCAGTTTTATCTTAATCCAATAGTTCATAATTAACTGTTATACCATATATAGTTTATCTTCGTTTTGTAAGTATTGAGGAATGATTAATATTTGAAGAATTGATGATTTATCAGTATAATATATATTCGATTTGTTATTGAAGATCTGCTCTATCTATTCTAGATAATTCATTGTAACCTTTCTATTTCTATCTGAATATCCTTTAGAATATTGGGAACAACAAACGTAGTCTTATATCAGCTTGTTCACAAGAACATATCAAAATGCCAATAGTTGTTTATTTCGATAGTCAAGGCGATTGGCTTGCTGCCTGTTATGCTGGTTTAACAGTCCTACTCGTTTATATGCAATACGAGCATATCTCTATTTTGGAAAAATCTCAGAAATCAGTTTTCATGTTGCAGATGCCAAATGTAACATCAGTTCAATCACATCTATATTGTGGTATATCATATGTTCATTGTCACTGCTCTATTGTTTCAGTGGAACACTGTCTCACTGATGAGCAGCTTAAGATCGGTCGAATCTTACCATTGGCTTTATTTGTATTACAGGTTTACCTTATTCGAGAACTTCTTTCGTTAAGCAGAGACTATACATTTTCTCTCGTCTATAGCACATGGATCATTTGTTTGTTGATTTTCATCGGTATTCTAGCTGTCGTTTATCGATATACTTGTTTTTATTCGCATACAGCTACGATTCTTTGCATCACGGGTTATTTTCTATTTGCTTTCGTTCTTTTTGCATTTGTTTATGATAACTATCGTAGAGATCCTCTGCGACAGCATTACTATAGTTAACGGTCAAAGATCTGAAAAGATTTATAATGAAGTTCTATTCTGAAAAAAAAACTGTTTTAATCAATACAGATTGTTCTTCTCATACGACCGGATCTTGATATGACTTATTCTTTCGTGTGCACTTTTCAATTGTATGTAGTGTATATTGCTTTTTGTATTGATAACGAAGACTGTACTCTTTCTCTCTCTATCTTTTTTACGAATGATTATTGTGTTAAATATGTTCCTCTGTTTTTTTGTATTTGGCAGATTACATTGTTTTGTTTTTGATTATATAATAATGTATTAAAAAAAAAGTAGTTCTTAAAATTTATTTTGCAAAAACAAGAACCGAAATAATCAACAATTGTGCGTTTCGAAATTAGGATCAAGAATAATAGTCGTTCTTTTTCGTAATAATAACATAAATATCCATTGTAATAAAATTATTTAAGTAAAAAATGAAGACAGATTATTGATCAAATAATTGAAAATATTGTTGTTATGAAAAGTTTTGGAGTTAAAAATAAATAATTCTTAAATTTTATTATCTTGTTGTCACGTATTCAGGGTATACGTAAAAGCCAGAAAATGTATTGTATTATCAATTGCGTAATACAATAAAGGCCAAGGTCAATGACTTGTTTTATTGACTTGAAGAACAGAAACAACTAACAAGTTAGATGAAACGAAACGAACAAAAGTAATCATCTTTTTAAGAAAAGACAAGCATATATATATAGAGATCTATATGTTGTGATGACTCATACGAATGGAATGCAGAATACGAAAAAGAAACAAAAGAAATATAACAATAGAAATATTGTTATATACGCAATTAGAATGATCACAACATAAAGGAAAAAGAACACACATAAATATATGTATAGAATTATACATATGTAAATCATGACTCATCAGCAGACAAACACCAACAGATAAGAAATGAAATAAATGTAACAATAATAATAATTATTGTCAATACACTACACTTGTGATGAGGACATAGATTTCAAGGGTATAGACGGAAGAAACAGTTGCGCGAAAAACAAACAAAGAAAGAAATATCAATTTGAATTACATAAATTTTTATTTATTTTTTATTTTTATCTCATTTTTTAGTGGTTACTATGTATGACCAAAAATGACACTTATCATGCTTCCTGCTTTCATTAGATTATACAGTCTTCTCGTACATATTAAAGCTAACAAAAACACAACATCTTAAAAAGCAAGCACCTGATGAATATTTTCCAATTTTCTTCCTGCTCAACATCTGTTCTATTTTTGTGGTTCTATTGGATTCAGTACATCTCACGTGCCAGCATATGTAACATTAGTCGGTATATTGTTGCAATCTTATCTGCAATAATAATCCGTAAACATAAACATATGGTTTTGCTGGTTGGAAAAGTTTTTATAATTGCATCTATATGTGGTTTAACATTATTGGATATAATCTACTTTTATTTTTTTTGTTACCCTGAAAACATAATCGAACGATATTTTTCAAGATAAACTTATTATTCAATTATTCTAACAGTTCTTACTCCATGAATATCTTCAGTATCAATTGAACCTTTTTGTTTAAATGAAGATAGAACAATCTTAATTGTTATTTATTCAGATAGATCGATTTGTATATGAAATCCACAAACTGGTGGAATTCTTTTCTATCAATAAAGATATACTAAATCAAGTCATGTTTGGTATTCATTAATAATTAATGAACAAATATTTTTTTTTAGGTTGTTCAAATAATCAAATACAAAATTTATTCAAATAATATCAAATCTGAAAAAATTATTTCATATAAAGATAATCTTGGTGGTATAACACATCATAGTCATGCATTATCAACTGTTATTCTTTCTATAACACGTTATGGTTGTTTAATAGTATTTGATTATATCAATAATATCGTAAAACAACTTTGTATCAAAAGATTACATCAAATGTCAATACGTGTTTGTAAAATTAATTTAAATTCATTATTTGTATTTACTGGTAGTGATGATTGTATGATAAAAATAACAAATATATTAAATGGGATATGTTTATATACTTTGCATAATCATCAAGCTCCTATCAATACTCTTGCTATTGATCCTGTAAGTTACTTTTTAATTTAATTATATTAAATTAATTTTGATAGTTCAGTATCAGCCAACAACATTAATAAGTGGTTGTTATAATGAAACATTATGTTGATGAGATAATGATTGTTTGAAACAGATACATGTCAATGTGCATTCATTCTCAATAATAATTAATATAAATTTCAGCGGTCATTCATCGAATATAATCAGTCTTGGAAGCGATAAACATTTATATATATGGGCATATAAAACATTTAAATTAATCTATGAATTTTCTGATATAACATCGAATTGATTTTTAATACATTCTACAAATTATTGATTTTATATTCAATCAAATTCTATTTATATCTATGATACATATCATCAAACAAAAATTTCTCTTCAACATTTTCTTCTTCCATTGCTTCATGATCATAAAATCAATATTGAAAAATGCATTTATTCATCTAATACCGAATTATTAATTCTTTGACATTCAAATCTAATCAATACAATGCATTTACCAGAAAGATTTTTTCTTCTCCGGTGATTTCTTGTTTTTTTCTGTAATATGTCTTTTTTTCATTGAAACAAACTTTCGGTGTTTTTTTTTGTCTATATTGTTATTCTGTTCGATACGTTTGTCATTTATCGTTTGCCTATTAAAACAGCAGTTGTGCTTATTCATGAAAGCATTTATTTTCTTTGTGTATGTGTTTATTAACTGTTTACAGACTGCCGTTCTTGTGTTGATTATTTCCCTCTTCCATGTTTTCTTTTGTTTTTTTTGTTGTATTGTGTTCTGTCTTGTCATGGCAGTATTTCATATTTAATCTCTAAATACGTTTTATTAATGAACAAAATATACCACAAGATGCAGCGTGAAGAGCTCTACAACCTGCAAAGTAAAAGTTATTTTAATTAAACTTTTTGTTTTTCAAAAAAAGCAAAATTCTGTGCGATTGATTTTCACCGCTGCGAAAAGATCATTCCTTTTTTCTTATTTTATCTTTTTATCATCTAATACGTTCTCTTAAAAACACAGAATATACCACAAGAGGCAGCGTAAAAAGCTCTACAGCACACTAAGTAGAGCTTATTTTAATTGTGTAATTTTTGTTTTCAAAAAAAGCAAAATTCTGTACGACCGATTTTCGCCGCTGTGAAAAGATCATTTTTTTCTACACGAACGAGCAATTGCTTTTTTTCTTATTTCATCCTTTTATTCCCTAATACGTTTTCTTAAAAAAACACAAAATATACCACAAGTCGCAGCGTGGAAAGCTCTACAATCTACAAAGTAAAGCTTATTTTAATTGTGTAATTTTGGTTTCAGAAGAAGCAAAATTCTGTGTGACCACCCTGCACAGCGTTGAAAATTGGTTGCATAGAATTTGATTTTTTTGAAAACAAAAAGTTTACAATTAAAATAACCTTTACTTTGCAGATTGTAGAGCTTTTCACACTGAATCTTGTGGTATATTTTGTTCTTTAATAAAACGTATTTAGAGATTAAAATATGAAATACAAAACCCGGCCATTTGTTATGGAATGCCCGTTATCTTAATCTTTATTCCATACATCAAACACTTCAATTTATTCATCAATAATGATAAATTTAGCTTTTCGTACTCAATCCCGTAAACGTAAACAACCAATAAATGATTCTTTATTTTTAACACTTTCAATATCACCAAAACGATCAACTTCTACTGCCTTCTTCTTTCTAAAGATGATGCCGTTTAACGGTTTAGTTGTGATGCCTTTTCATAATAGTAAATCGATTCAAACAGATTTAATACTTTCATTCTCAACATGAACATCTAGTCGTCAATATGATATGGAACTAGAAGAACTACAAGCACAAATTAATGGAAGTATGATAACAAGATTTTATGCTCAATTTAGAGTGAATATACATTTTTCTCTTTTTAATAAACAATTATCTTATTCTTAGAATCGTGTACTTAATTTGTCTTATTCATATGGATTTTTTGTTACTCATAATTCTCTTTATATAATTCTCATTTGTGTTGTAATATTTTTATTGAGTTTGTAAGCATTAAAAACGCAAGAAATCCCATTTCTGTGAAATTTTAAATTAAACAGATTTCAAATAATAGGTAATGTTTCACCAGTGCGCAATTCATTTGAAATATTTTCTGAATCAATAAGAAGATTTCGTCCAGATAGAGCTCATTTAAAATTAAATTGAAGTGATCAATTACGTGATAAACAATCCGATAAACCACTTTAGGTAAAAGATTTTTTTCTTAATCATTTTTTAGTATAATTTTATTTAGTGTTCTGGTTATCCACTTGCTTATGTTCAACATATTATTGTCCAATGCTCATCATCAACATCACGTTTATCATGTCTTTTAAAAGCATGAGATATTTATGAACGTCTGCTTTCTGATCTTCAGTTAGATACTAATTGTTTAAGAGTGAATGAAGTGATCAATTCTCAAGAACTGTACTCTTATTTATCTTCATATGGTTTTCTTATTCTTTCACCATTAAATCTTTAGTCAAATGATCTATCGAATTTATAAAACAATTTAAAAAAATTCTTGAATCAATCTTATCATTATCAAAACATTATAAAGATATTATCTTTAATATTCCACAAAAATTGAATTCACTGAATAAGTCTCTAACATATGCGATCACTATTTTGCTTATCAATACTTCGAATGAATATCGAGAAGATTTAAAAAACGATTATTTGCTTTCGATAATCAACAAGATAAATTAATCCATATTTATTTTTCCAAGAAAACTTTTTAATATTATCTACCACTTATTCTGATTTATATTCTTGTTTTTCTTTATATTTATTATTCCGTTAGCAAGTTAAAATCTCTTTTTATCTTTTCTTCTATTTAATCTTTAAATTCAGATCAATTCGAATGTGTTAAGTCAAAATGTAGCCTTGCCTCAATCGCTACTGTTTAAATAATTGTTTCATTATTATGTATCTTTATCAATATCAACTTTATTTCATAACTAAGAATAAAACGTGAAAATAAGAATCATTTTATGTTAAACGAGATATAGCAGACGAACAGGAGAACAACAAGTGTAATTGTAAAAACACGAACCATATAGTTGATTTCGCTCTTGTTGTTTGATTGTATATGATATCGTACACCTCTGTAAAAGTATTCAACTGTTACACCAAATATAGATGCAATTATAAAAAACTTTTCCAACCAGGGAATTATATGTTTATAGATTATTATTGCAAATAAGATCGCAAGAACACCGACTGATGTTATAAATGCTGGCGCGTAAGGTGCGCCGAATCCAATAGAACCACAAAAAACGGAACAGACGTTGAGCAGGAAGAAAATTGAAAAATATTCATCAGGTGCTTGCTTTTTAAGATCTTGTGTTTTTGTTAGAGCTTTAATATGTAGAAGAAGACTGTATAAGCTGATGAAAGCAGCAAGCATCATAAGTATCATTTTTGATCGCACATAGTAACCACTAAAAAAATGAGATAAAAATTAAAAAAAATAAAAGCTTATGTAATTCAAATTGATATTTCTCGTAACTGTTTCTTCCATCTATACCCTTGAAATCTATGTCCTCATCACAAGATAATAGAATTTAAGAATTATTTATTTTTAACTCCAAAGCTTTTCATAACAACAATATTTTCGATTATTTTTATTCTGATATCCAATTCGATTAAGAAAACTTCTGTATGTACTGATAGATTCGATTTCCGGATGATTTTCAAAGTAAATCTCGAATAAATTTGAAAGGTATTTTTGTTTCCAAACTAAATATGGATTTCTTTAATCTTTTAGAATGTAAATAATTCTGATGTCAAACACTTTTGATATTCGATTTATGAATTACTTAACACATATCAATGTTTATCCAAGCAATTTATCGATCGAGAGGGATGTATAGCGCGTTATAATTATGATTATGACTATGAATTTTCTTTTTTTCGTATTTCTTACGCTAAATTATTATTTTTTGATGTTTGATCATTTGTTGTTGTAGGTATGTTATTGATTTTTACGTTTGGATAAGAATTACTTCGACCTTTTCTAAACAGTTATCAGATGTTAAATTACTATTATTTATATGCTTGTAGAAATAATGAAATCATACTTTGATTTGTTTTGTTTCTGTTGCATTGAAGACATTTAGAATAATTCGAAAGAACGACAAGAATAGTAATTTGTTTTTTTATTCACTGATTTCGTATTCGTACATATATATGTATATATTATATGTGTCTCTCTTACTCCGTACATTCAAAGAAATATCGTTCTTACGAAAAAAAAATAATTCAAGATTAAACAGATATTCAGTGTTCAATTGAATTCGTTGGTTTTCCTGTTTTTTTGGCATCATTCACAAGGTGAAATATCTTCCTTCTTTAGTCTCTGTCTCAGTTTTCTTTTGTTCGCTCCGATCATTCTTGACCTATATTCACACGCGGAAAGATCATCCACAGTGACGATGAACGACAAGTTAATGTTTCTTCTACTATACTTTTTCTCTTACAGAGAGAGAGAGAGAGAGAGAGAGAGAGAGAGAGAGAGACGGACAGACAACAACAAGAAGAAGAAAATATTAAACCCTGGCAAAACATTCACAATACGTGGTGATTCATCATCTGCTAAAACTGATTATTCACATGGACTCTATACACAAACAGCACGTGATATATTTCATCGTTTATCTCTACCACAATATCGTACAACAATTGAAGGTTTTGTTACATTTTATGAAATTTATTGTGGCAAATTTTTTAATTTACTTAATAATAAAAAAACGTTTATGTGTATTAGAAGATCAAAAAGGTCTTGTTCAAGTATGTGATCGAAAAAAACAACAAGTTAAATCTGTTCAAGATGTATTAAATATCATCCAACGTAAGTTGATCTCTTTAATTTTATTTAATAATGAAACTGATAATTTTCCTTTTTCGACTAAAATGTAATGTCATTCAGTTGGTATGAGTATTCGAACATCTGGTACAACAGCAGCTAATTCAAATTCTTCTCGATCACATGCTGTTCTACAAATTATTTTAAAAACATCATCTAATTCCACTTCTTCAAATGTATCATCATCATCATCTCGTAATAATAATAACAACAACAATAATCCAGCTATACCTCGTCGTTTAATGAAAGAAATTGGTAAAATATCATTAATTGATTTAGCTGGTTCTAAACATGGTAAAGACACAGCAAGTGGTGATCGTCTTTAACGTATGGAAGGTTCAGAAATCAATAAATCTTTATTAGCATTGAAAGAATGTATTCGTGCATTGGGTCGTGGTGATGACAGTCATGTACCATTTCGTGGTTCAACATTAACAAAAGTATTACGAGATTCATTTATTGGTGATAAATCAAAAGTTTCTGTGATTGCAATGGTGTCACCAACACATTCTGATGTTGAAAATACAATGAATACGTTACGTTATGCTGATCGAGTTAAAGAATTACGAGCTGGAGATAATGATGAAATTATATCAAATGAAGATGGAATATCAAAAGGTTTGATCAATTATATTTACATAATGATTTATTCTTTTATTTTAGCGTTACCTATTGATGATGACAAAGAAAATAAACGTCGTCATCATTATCATCATCATTGCGATGACTCTGCATCATCAAATGATAGTACCAGTTCATCATCAAATGATCTTCAAGATGATTATGATGATGATGATGAACAAGATGAAGCATTAGCTTTATATGCAGCACAAGTTGGACATTTACAAGAATTTGAAGATGCTTTATTTGATTGTTGTCAAGATATTTTAACAAATAAAGAATCAATACTTACAAAACAATTACGTGCTATTGTTAAGCAAGCACAAGATACAGTTGATTATGATCAAGAAAAATTTGTTAATGATATGCGCAAAAATTTACTTGAACGACAACAAATTTTAAATGAATTACAAACACGTTTACAGGCATTTGCTGATTGTCTTCAACAAGAAGAACAAGTTGCTGCAGCACAACGAATGAAAAAAACATCAAACAAATATTAATCGATAAACTTTGTATTTTTTTTCTTGTCTTTTCGTCGCATATAATTATCTTATAATATGATTAATACAAAATATATAGATTTCTAGATGAAAAGGTGAATAATTAATTAATAATCATTACTTCTACATTTTATAACAAAATCATTTATTTTTATTAACCAACAGGACTATCATGAATCGGAGTTTTCTCAGTAGATTCCTTGAGCTTTAGTCAATTCTTGAAAATTTTCTTGGCGAAGAACGAGAACTCGAATAAGAAATATAATAATACTAATTGACAACTATGCATTATATCACTGTATATATATATATATATATATATATATAAGGTGGAGGCAATGCAAAATGCGAGCAGTTTTTATAGGATTGAGAACACAGTAATAAAGATATAGTCAGAAGTATATATGAATCATTGCGTTGACAAACAGCTATGGTTTGACGTTCTCATTGTGAAAGTATAGATATAACGCTGTAGATATACGAGTATAGGTATAGAACTATAGACTTTACAGATATAGATATAAGAATATTGTTGCAAGGATGCAGGTTCACTGTAAAAAGTTCTGTATTGTTTGAAATCTAAAATTGAGAATTGTCTGATATTTTTTGTGTTGGAAGAGTTTTTTGAAACTATCTCAGAAACCTCTTAGCAGCTTTTTCAAATTGTAAATAGGTTTCTGAAGTTGCAAAACGTATGTGCAACATTGAAGAACTCTGAAAATTTCTTCAAAACTTCTCCGCCATGAAAGTATACAGAAATTCTTTTTTGGATGTCTACTAATACAGATACCTTTTTAGAGTATATAAAGCTTCACTGTAAAAAAAAGATGGTAAAATCCTGAATTCTTAAAAAGGATCTATTAGTCTCATAAGTCCTCAATCATACTTAAACTCACTTAAGGAACATGTCATTTTCAAAATACTTTTTAAGTTTATGTCTATTTCATAAACTCTTCAACAGTGTACGATACGTTCCATTTTTATCAATTCTTGCTCGACTACAAAGATAATAAACCCTTGAAGTATTCATTTTCCGTTATCATAAACACTTGAAGATTTTACTATCTTTAGTGCAATGCAAGATTTATGAAAAGGAAACTTATAATTAGACTTATAGGGGTATATGAAATTGGTATAAATTCTGAAAAGGTTTACAAAGAAAATTAGCTTTTCTGTAGGATTGATTGTTTGACGCCTTTTTTATAGTGTACTTCGTCTATTCGAAGACCAGTGTCTTAGTTTTCATTCATTTTATAGTTCAAAATGTACTCTTGCTTCTATTCGAGGATATTTGAAATAGATTCAATCGAACAGTAAGGTTTCTATGCCAGTTTTCTGCAAGATCCTCTTCAATTAGTTGAATTACCTTTTTCAGAATCGAATCATATTAACTGGTCATTTCAGATTATGAAACATAGCTTTGTCTTGATTGTGTGTTGAACATAAATTGACAGAAGCACACTGACACTATGCAAGCTCAAGGTGAAAAGTGTACCGATTATGCCTTTATGATCTCTGTTTTTCTTCTCAAGCATGCCCGAAAATCTATTCTAATCTAAGGAAAATGAAAAACACTATTTGCATTAAAAAGGTCATTCTAGGTCTGAAAAATGTAAGCAGGATTCATTGTTGAGAATACGAGGATGTTTACTATGGACAGATCCATTTTCAATGAATATTGTTAGACTTGAATTAAGAGAATTCACTATACAAAGATGTTCAGCATCGCGGAGTATTTGCAATACGAGATTTTACACTATTCAATTTTTATGCCTTCATTTTTCACACACTAGTATGTAATCATTCGTGAAGAATAATACGCTAAATCAGTATTTTTAAGTAGTCTGCTTCGTTGTTTCTGTTTGCTGTGAATCGATTAAGTCTCTATTACATATTCTTAATATTAAAGCTTTTGCACTCAGAGAGTATCGAATATGAATCTGTATCGAGTAAGTAATGCAGGAGAAGTAATGGTATTCAATATGTAAATCGTGTTCCTACCTTTTTGCAGCTACTTGCACAGAACAATGAAAAAACTACCGCACATGTGCACTTTTTCCAAAATGTGACAAAGAAACACAGCATCATTACTTTAGTTTACTGCAATACTCTTTACAGAGAAAATGAAATATGTAGAAAAGGAAAAAAAATGCGTCTAATATATATGTTGATGTATGGCATTCGAAAGCATAATTTGATTGATTCACGACACATTATAATACAGGTTTGAAGTGCTTCGTTTCACTTCGTTGCAGCTAGCAATCGTCCAAAGAACAAATATTCTATTGAATCATGAGTAGCTGATCAAACGCGAGTATAGAAAGATCAGAAAAAAAGCCAGTGATGCCAGTATGAATGAACTGAAAACAGCAGCTTTGATGAATTTCTTTTCTGTTAACGTTTCGGTTATATTTATGAACAAGGAGAGAGAAAAAGAAAATGAAAATCAGAAACTAAATACAGTAAAATCTACGAGAGAACAGAACAACTTAAGAGAGAAAAAAAGAGATGCACAACAGAAAAAATATGAACACCATAGCTGAAAAACGAATTTTCTTTTGTTTTGAAACTTCTGTTGAGATGTTTGTATGGTTGTATCATAGGGACGCGCGTGGCATTCATTGTTCTCCCATGCTACCTCTTCTTCTATGTCTTATCATTCCTCTTTTCTAATACGACATCCGATGTTGATGACTTATTCATTTAGATCAACACTAAGCGTCATGCTAAACTTTTAAGAAGAACCAATATTGGTACCGAATATGTTGTTCGATTGATTCTACCCTCGCACTCTTCAATTAACAACGACCCTTAGATAAGGAAGTGATAGACGATGTTGTTTCAACACAGAACTCGAACATTGTTTCAGTCCATCTGATTGATCGCTGTTTTTCTCGTATTCAACAAAGAAAGAAAAAGAGAGGATGATGTTGATGTTATCAGCGTTTTCCGCGCCATGACATACTTTGTCTGTAGATTCGTGTTGTTGTTGCTTGTTGGATTGATCATTGTTATTGTCTTGTTCCGAACTCATGATAAACGTTGTAGTGCTGTTTTTTGTTGATGTTTTGGTTTCACCATCATTGTTGTTCTTCTAGTCTTTAAACAAAATTAGTATGGGTGTAAATGAAGGGAAAATTCACATTTATCAATAGCGAAATTCGAATTCACTCACAATCACATCTGCAGCACTTATGCGAATAAGCATTGAATCTCATTTATCGTCGATAACCAATATAATTTGTCGAAGATTTCTTTCAGAAATTCGATAGTTTTGCCATTAAAGTTATGTTCACTAGTGGTATTGAGATAAAATATAAACATCGGGAAAGCAGAAACGCTGCAACCATAAAATATTCAGCTGAAAGCGTGAATATGCTAGGTTGCATTATCTTCGAGCCAAACTTTTCTCGCTTGCCTCGATACTGCCATACTATTTAGACAAATGCATGTAGCTAAAAAACTATTAATATTCTGATATATTATTCAAGCTTTAAAAAAATCGAATCAATCCAATACAGTTGGTAGATTACAAACGTGAATCATCTAGAGAACAAGTAAAACAAATAGTCATAATGAAAGCCTCATATTTATAGGATTAATCCATCGTTTCTGTTATGCACATATGAATAAACCAATGGTTGTTACAAGAGGAATTAAAACATACAGAAGAAAGTAAATGCTGCAGCCTCAAGCAATGAAACAACTTTTATGAATAAAAAACCTTTCAGATTCTGCTTATATTCATACTAAAAGCACAAGAGTCTTGTTTGCTAACATAGTAATGCGATCAGCAGCGAAGTCGTCATGTTCAACAGTAGATCTCAATCTTCGACAAATTGTATCATTGTCTTTGGATGGTCGGAGACTTGCAGCATTACTAATAAGTTATGAATCAACACTCGATGAACTGCGAGACTACCTTAGACAACGTTCGATTATGATCGACCCAGGCGATCAATTCCTTTACAAAGGCCTTGCCATTTCATTAGTGCACAAACTAAAATTTAATATTTATGAAGTAGTTGAAGACGGTATTGTTACCATGCAAAGTCGTTTAAAAACACGCATACTACAGTTACCGAATCGAGAAGTGTGTTCCTATTTTTGTGACTAGAGAGCTTTGACAACTGCTTCCAATATTACATCGCACAATAAAAATACGATGGATTCAATCAATCATCAACTAGATCGAAACAAATAGAGAGTTGTGTATGATCACACGAGTCTTCTTCGAGGACGTTGTTTTCTAAGTATTGGCCCTCAAATAGGAGATTATCCAATGATTAGACTCAAGCCGAACTGGTGTCCAAATAGTTTTCCGTTTGATGATGCTAGACTACACGTTGAAAAGTCTCATCAACAAATGAACAACGAATATTTGAATGGTAAATTGTACAATATCAATGCGATCGTTAATCTTCCTTTTCTCAATATCATATTCGGCAGTGATCATAATAGAAATCAATCAATGATAAATAATATTGAAAAAATGTCAACATTTGTCTACTATAAATTACCTTGAGTTGTTCACATTTTCGATGAAACAATGATCGAAGCTGACCCGACATTTATCGACGAAATTGATCAGGTGCTTTATGGTTCTCAAAGTAAGAACAAATATGATCAACTATATTGTATACTCAACAAATATATACACGGCTATGCTGCCAAAGTCGTGCTTGGAAGTTATCAAGTTCGTGTACAGCACAAACAAATGGGTGAAATATACGATACAGACGGATTAGATCAACAAATAAGAACCAATATCAAAGCAAACTACAATGAAGTGGGAGCCAGTGTTGGTCTGGAACGAAATAAAAAAAAGGCACGAGCAAGACGGAAAATCAATAATAACACGCTTATTGATCGTTCAACAACAGGTGGTGATGCTCTCACAAATGATCTGAATGAATGGCTTGAAGCATTAAAAAATACAAATACATGACGTATCATCGAATATCAACGAGTAGAACCTGTCTATAAATTCGTTGACTTAGAACGACAGCAGAAAATTGAGATTATTCTTGCTATGCATGAACAACAAGAACAACAACAAGAGTGTTGATTCCAAAACGTACCAGAAGAGCTGGCATTTTCTTCCAACGAAGGTTTCTACAAATATGATGTACAGTGTATGAGTAAGAGAACTAGCCGTCATTCTATCTCCTCACAAGTAACTGATGTATTCTTATTCTTCTATGCTCCAACTTTTGATCAATGGTTATGGAAGCACAAGAAATGTGAACGTATTCCGTGGACGTTTCTTAAATATACAGTCATTGATGAACTGAAAATAAAATCTGTCCATGCCATTATGCATGTTCTTCAATAAACAAATCCAATACCAACCAATGATATTATTGAAATAAGTTATGAATTCGGGAGCATGTACGTGCCTGATGGAACCCTGACCAAATTTTGCAAGGCTATCAATCATTTATTCAAAACACATCGATTCCCACAAAGGCAATTGGCCATGCTTCTCTACAGCCCATGTTCTTCAGACTTTTTTAAATAGATTAGTCTTCCTTTGAAACAGTATAACAACAGATTTTCCACTTGAAAAAATATGCGAACAATCGTTCTCTGTGTGCTATTAGGTTAGATCTTCCAAGAGTGTCCATGAAGGAACCCCAAGTACTGGCAGAAAATTGCCCCACTTTACTATTCCAAGTTCATGCAACAGCTTTAGCTTCGATCATGTTGATTAAAGACGCACAGTTATCTTTGGCTATCTGTATATTTGTCATATTTTTTTAATAAATTGGTTTCCATAAACTGAGTCGCATTTGATTTTGGCTCACTTCAAAATAGATGGAAAAAAGTAGTCTCCTAGTGATTAGTTGCGGCAGCTACATCGTGTTTCACATTTTAATCCTGCAACGATTGCGTTGACAGTCTTTAGATTACATTTCAAATTATAAAAATTCAAATTTTTAGACATAAATAAGAAAATTTTGCTTTTTTAAATTAAATAATTTAATGTAAAAATTGTTATTTTTGAACATATAATTGAATAGATGAATAAAATCACCATAAAAACAAAAACATGGATCCCATAATCTTTCAATAATATTATCGTACCTAATTTTTGCTATGTTACTTCAGCAAGCAACAACGAATAAGTTTTGATTTTCTCGACTCAAATTGAAACTATTCAACTTCGAAGTGATATGTTTCGGTTATGACTTACTAATAGAATTCGAAGCCTATAAAAGATTTTGAAATAACAATGGATTCTACTGTAGTTAAGGAGTCAAGCTCAACATATCAAATACGTTTTCTATTCTACTGTCAATCTATCTGCTTTTTTTCCATACGCTAATCGATAACATGGAAATTAGAGATTATGATTTTCGAGTGTTATTCTATGTTGAAACTATTTGCTCAGTCGTCTTGATAGTATCGAAACAAACTACAATATAGTTTTGTATAAGTCAACAGAGCATCGGGACGATAATATCAGACATGTTTTGTAACGTATTATTTTTGCTTACAAACATTCGTTTTACTCTGATCCACTATTCGTTTTTATTATTTCAGATTGTAAGTAAGTGAATGAAAAAAAAACCTTTCCCCTTATGCACTAGAAACTATCACATGTGATATATGTTGCATATGAATCGAGACAGAAGGAAGAAAAAGGTTTGCTGATCTATGTACTACTATCAATTGTAATCATAGCATACAAAAGATGATGCCAGTGTTTTACTAACAGAATCACCTTATTTCCATTGAGTTATAAATCAATATTTTATACTCCAATTAATCATTCTATCGACTTTACAATTATTACAGAATTTACTTATGGACATTCATTCTAAATAGTTTTTTCTGAATTTGATATTGCTTTTTTGTGAAGATTTCGCGAAAAATTGATATTGGTTTTATGATCTAAATATGATAGGGATAGTTTGGGAAAAAACGATCGTATTGCATGGTTTTTTTGCTTTTTCAATCAGAAAAATAAATCGATTATTAAAAAAAAAAGACACCATTAGTATTCGTTATATGATTAATAAATAAACCTTTTAATTTATGTTTGTATGTTCTAGAAGACGAAAACTCATTCAGTTTTATCTAATGTATGATAATCTAAGATTTGCTTAGAATCGAAACAATAATGTCGTCTGAAAAATATGCATTCAGCTTTTGTTTTCAATTATTGTTCTCTATTATCTTGATCTAAGGCTTTAGTTGTTCGTGGTTGATATTCGTTGAAAACAATAATCTAGATCGATAACAGAAGATAATTATATTTCAGAATTATTATTCATATTTCCTAAAAGTAATCATTTACTACTTTGTTTCTTTTTTGTTTGAGCACGAAAAAAATTACCATGAAGACGTCATATAATAAGAAAAAAGTTCCAGGTTTCAAATTGTTTTATGAATGATAATCATCGTCAGCATACCCTCTCAAACATACTGCAAACTAAAAAATATATAGTACGTTAATTAGCACTTTATCTTTCACACATTCTTTTCATTGAATTTACATCATGAATAAACAATAAGTAGGTAGTACTTCAAACTGAAATGCTACCTACGGTCGATCAATATTGATTTAATTAAAAATGAACAAAAAACTTGATATCTTAAATAGTTTCTGTTTAGTGCGGATGTTAGTGTAGATGAATGATGATACGATTCACGCTCATATACTCACGTCTATCCTAGATCCATATCCCCTCATCTACCTTTGGAATATCCATATTTTCTACTCTATTCTGTCTCATGGGTACACTAAACGTGTTGTCAAGCGTTCATCCTATTCATGTAGGTTTTATATGTTCCATCAGTTTGTTCATGCATACAGGCAGCTTCGTAGCATCGTTGTCGAACTCTGCTTTGGTTTCTTGATCTTTTTTAATTAATTTTTCCTTTAGTTATTTGTCTTTCAAAAATTTCCTGTATAAGACTTCGTCAGTTAAAAAAAAAATTAATTAATCGATTACATCTGCGTTTTTACTATCTGATTAACTTTTCATCTGGTTGATGTCCCTGAAACCAATTCATGTACAGACGGAAGACGAAACAGTTGAACGCTTGAATCAAAAACTAATGAGAAAAGAATTGGGATTTAAACAGAAAGTAAGAAAGTGTTGAGATGCAAACATTTTGCGATGCCGTATGTGTTGCTTTCTGATTCAAAAACTTTCAACGAATTTTTCAGATGCGAACAGACTCAAACTTTAAAACGGTTATAGAAGCTGATTGCAAGAACATGAACCTATAATATAAATCTCATCATGAAACATCGTGTTTGTCTCACTAAATGTACTTTATAAATCAGAAAGAGCATTTGTTTTTCTTGTTTGACATCATTGGAAGAAACCCATAACACTAAGTTTCATAAAGAATGATTTTATTAATGCTTCTGTTTCTCAATTTTATTGAATACTTTTGATAGTGAGTCATATATTGGATTTCAAAACAAGTCGCTAAACAAAATATCTTATAGTACGAAAGTATTGTCCATTGCTTCTTTCCCTTTTTATAAAAGGTATTGTGTCATAAATTAAAACGCTTCATATTTAATGAGAAAGTGTTATGTCTTTTGCCGTTTTTCAATTTTACTGATAATGTCAACGAAACCGCACAGTGGAATATTTACCCAATTCGGTCGATAGTTCATTTCATAAACAGCTTCGTGGACAACTCGCTCCAAGAGGTGGAAGAGAAGTATGTCATCTACTTCATAGGCATCCTTCCACATGGCAGCAGAATGTTTAAGAAAAGAATGAAGAAAAATATCACAAATATATTGAAAACACTGACTTTTGGTTGTAATAGCGGCATAATGGAACGAACGAAGCATCCCAGCCACATCTTTTAAAGGTGAATGTTTAAGATGTCGTTCAACAATTGTATTCGTTGGCTCACCTTCAAAATCAACTATTATAAAATCATCATAAAGTGAGCTAAACAACACTTGTCCTAGATGGAAATCACCGTGAACCCGAATACGACACGATTGAAAGGAACGTGATTGGAAGGCAGCAAGAAAATTCGACAGAATTACTTTGGAATTTAAGACATCCTTCGCCAAAGACAACGAACAAGTTTCGAGCTGTGAATAGCACTGCTCGAGTTTATCAGCGAGATGTTGAGTCATAAGTTGACAATATTCTTGAGTGAAAATTTCAGGAACAAAGTTAATATTTGAGCACTCGAGTTTGTAAAGATTCAAGTGCATTTCAGCCGTTCGACGTCCGAGTAGCGCAACTTTTTCGATTAGAACATGCTGTGACGAAGGTTCATTGATAAGACTAGTTACCATCGACCAACAATCATATGCTTTTGGAATAAATTTTTGCACAAGTACTAAAACCATAGTTGAATCTTGTTGATCCGACCAGTCGATACTACCAAGACAAGTTGGTATATGATTTGAAAAATCCTCCGATTTTCCAATGAAAGTGAGCATTTCAACTTCCAAGTTTTGACCTGTCGTTAGTTTTCGATAAAGTTTAAACAGATACTTATCATTAAATACCATTAATGAATTTGTTGAATCAGTAGATAGAATGTCCGACGATTGATAGAAATCATCAAAGTCTTTGAAACGAGTGATTGAAAGAGATTTGTCATTTGTTCCAATAATAAAATGATTAAATAGTGCTCGGCGAAATGACTCGTCATAAACAGCATCGATGAGTAGAACATGGTCACCATTCGATCGAGTAATCTCGGTAATACAAGCATTTTCAGACAAATCATCCGGCTTCGATGGTAAGAAGCCTAGTGGTAAAAAATATGATTCACTCTCATCTTCATAATATACATCGACAATTAATAGTTGACATGTGTGTACCGACCATTCGAGTATATGACGAACACTAGCACCATATGGAGATCGTGTTTTACCAGCAAACCAACGACTCCTCTTAGCAAACGGAAGAAAATGACATCTGGCGAAATCATCCCAGAATTGTGTGTTAG